TCGCTTGGATTTGGATATTTTATTATGTGTTTATGTCCCTGCTTGATTTCGTATACTGATTATGTGTTCCGCATGAACTTGTTATTTAACTATTTGCTATCGTACTTTGGATTATTTATTTCGTCATTTTTGAACTATGTTGAATATCGTTTGAACCTTGATTTCATGCTAATAGTTTGGGAATGATTTCGAAACTTATGATTTATGAGATTTTCATTTTCATAGCTCGAGCATGTGTAGGTTCATTGGATGGTTTGATTGAGTGTGGTTGTTTGTTGTGGTTAATAAGTAGCGCCCGTTTCTCGATAAATGTTTTAAATTGGGATTTTGAGAAAAATAAACTCTGATTTTTATAAATAAATTCGGTAAATTCTTTAAAATAAAACGGGGCGTTACATATAACCTCCTCTCAGTCACACAAATATGCATTAACTCTGCCATATCATGTGAGTTCAACTCACTAGAATGCTTGTTCAAAGGGAGCATTGGTAAAGTGGTGGGAAGAGGTTTTGTCAAAGGAAAACTCTACATTTTTGCAGATATTGGACAGGCACAAAAGAGAGAGTATACTTTGACATGCACAACAGCACTTGGAGAATGGCATAAGACCCTTGACGTGTGCTTCAAGGCCAAACAGCATAGACTTCCTTTTCCCACTAGTGGTGTGCAGGCAACAGAAATATTTGAAATGTTGCACATGGATATTTGGGGTCCTTGCAAAGAGGAAAATATAACAAATACCCCATACTTTTTGACCATTGTGGATGACTTCAGTAGAGGAGTATGGATCTACTTGATGAAACACAAAGGTGAGACAGTAGGGCATATCAGGATTTTCCTCAACATGGTGAAAACACAATTTGACAAAACTGTGAAAATCATAAGGAGTGATAATGGGGCAGAATTTGTTGGCCATGATTGTCAAAGGTTACTGCAGGACAATGGCATTGTCCATCAGAAAAGTTGTGTCCACACCCCACAGCAAAATGGGGTGGTGGATGTTAGAGTAGGATACCCTACGTTCCAATCTAGTTGGACGTATTCTACTTGTAAATACAAATCTATTGGAATTATATTATTAATAAGGCATTTCTTTATCTTAAGAGAAAGCATTTATCTTATAATTGCACTTAAGATAAAATCCCTAGATCACTTATGGTTATAAGATATGGTTGCGCATAGAGATGGTGATCATGGAACATATCTTGAAAGCCGCGATCTTAAATACAGTTCCAAGTCGATGGATGTTTTGAGATGGGATATCGAATAATCCATAAAAGACTTGCACATAGTTTGTACGCTTGTTGGACAAGAATGTTGCATTCCATCAACATTAGCGTGTGACGCAAACACATTTATGTGGGTGCTTGTTAGAGAACAAGTTCACTGAACATGACCGTATGAAAAATCTTAATGAAGAATTTATTCAGTCGAATAAGAATTTTCATGTTACAATAGTACATGACTAATCCTAAGACTTGAGGCACAATGGTAACTTTGTGCATATTACATTCTACTTTGATTTATCCTTTTGGTAGCTAGCACTATCGTTTAAAGGGATAAGTTGGGTATTATGTTAATATGTATGGAAGTTTGTTAGTGGCCAATAAAGGATTCGACACTTATGAAGATAAGTGAATTTCCTATGTATTTCATAGTTATTAATCCAAAGTCCTTGGCCAAGGCAGAGATGAATAGTGATTCATAACTGGGTTAATACACTTTGAAATAGAATCATAGTTATTAAGTCAATTTGGGTTTCGACAAAATCATACCCAAGACTTAATCGGGAAATTAGATGTCGAAAGGATTCTACATGTATGGAGTTGTAATTGAAATAGGTTTACTCGCTATTCAGTTAATAGTAGATTCATGCTGCTTGCTAGGTGTTACCATGATATGTGGGTTCTAGAATTAAAGAGTTAATTCAAGAATAAGAGTTAAATAGATTTAACTCAAATTACAAAGTGTTGTAAACCCACTACTAGTATTAAGGTGAACCTAAAAGGTCACACTAATTATGAACAAAGGTAAAGATTGTATTTCTAATGGTTAGAATTAATTGACAAAAATATCTAATTTGATTAGATGTCAATTAAAGGAATATATTAATCAATAAGATTGATTAATTACATTTTGGATATTACTTTAGTAATTAAGGTAATTACTAAATTAATAAAGTTGAATTTTAAAATAGGATTTTAAATTTCAAAATCCAAAATAAATGATAATATGATTATTATAATATGGATGAAAATTGGGAAATGAATATAATAATAAAGTCTTGGAATAGATTCTCAAGATTTATTATTCAATTATTATTTATATCTTTAAATATGATTTAAGGATTAAAATAATAAATATGATTATAATAAAATGGTGGTTAATGGTTGTTTGAACCACTTAACATATCTTATTATTTTCAAAGTCAATAGTTAGTAAATACTATTTAAATAAAATCTGATTTTATTTAAATATTACTAAATATTGATTATTTTATGCTAAAATGTTTAGTATAAATAGATGTAAATGGTTTACATAAATGGCTAAGTCTTGAAAATTGATTTTGGCTAAGTTTCTAAAGTGTTAGAAAGAGAAGAAAAGTTCTTCACAAAATCAAGAAAGAGTTCTTGAAAATTCCCAAATAAAATTCATACATATTCCTATACGAGAAAACCGAGTCATTCCTACTAGCGAAGGAAGGTCGTCGGAACCGGGCTTCATAGGGTGGATACGTTTAGAGGGAAGACACTTGGATTCCTAAAGTGAGTAACCTCAATCCGTTGAAGTTATCAAACCGAGAATCGATTCCGACAATCCACATCGTCGTTGAAGGAGTTCAAGACATTCGGTAAATACTTTGTATTAGTATTTACTTTATTGTAACAAATCAAAATTTGTATATGATGCATGTTTTTAAAGATGACGATCGATAATTCGCAATTAGTATGTACGGGTGTTGTATTTATTCGATAAATACTTACTTTGAAAGATTTTAAATTCCGCTGCTTAAAGCCCGTACGGTACTAGCGAACCCAACAGTGGAGAGAAAGCACAAACAACTACTAGAGATAGCAAGAAGTCTGCTATTCCACTCAAACATGCCTTTGAAATTTTGGAGCTTAGGAGTCTCCACTGCAGCTTACATCATAAATAGATTACCAAGTTCTGCAATTGAGTGGACCACACCATTTGAAAGAGTGTATGGTAAGATGGCTGATTACAATTGGTTGAAACCTTTTGGCTGTCTAGTTTTTGCTGTGAACACTTCACCTTTCAAAGGCAAACTAGCCCCTAGAGGGCAGAAATGTGCATTTGTGGGATATGCACCAGGTTACAAGGGATACAAGCTATACAACCTTGAGGATCACAGTTGCTTTGTGTCTAGAGATGTTGAATTCTTCACAGATGTCTTTCCATACAAGGACATAACTCCTACTTTACCACATGATACCACACATGTGCCTATACCTACTGTTGCAGATTGGGAATCCTCTCATGGTGACTCTGCTGTTTTGGAGCAAGAAGATACACCCCCCACAGTTCCATCTACAAGTGTCACATCACCTGTCACACATCAGACTCAAGTGCATGAAGAGAGGGCAAGAAAACAGCCTGTGTGGATGCAAGACTATGTTAGTCATTGTACTGAGATTGTGGACCTAGACTCTTCTACTTCTGAATTTTTTGCTAATGTAGCTGAGGATCAAGAGCCATTGACCTATGAGAAGGCCAAGGGCCATGACAAATGGGAGGAAGCCATGAGCACAGAACTAGCAGCTCTAGAGAAGAACAAGACATGGAACTTATGTTTTCTTCCACCTGGCAGAAAAGCTATTGGTTCCAAGTGGATATATAAGATTAAAAGGAAAGCCAATGGGGAGGTAGATCGATACAAAGCTCGGTTGGTTGCAAAGGGGTACAACCAAGTGGAGGGGAGAGATTATTTCGAAGTATTTTCCCCTGTGGCTAAACTTGTCACAGTTAGAATGCTCATTGCCATGGCTGTCATGAAGGATTGGGAACTTTGGCATTTAGATGTCAATAATGCATTCTTGCATGGCCATCTTAATGAGGAAGTTTACATGAAACTCCCTCAATAAGAGAGAAATTATAATTTATTATTATTATTTTTTTTCCAAATTTTCATCTCGAAATCCCAAAACAATTGGAAGTAGTCTTAAATTCAGGCCCAGCCCTAAGATCATTAGGCGGAAAATTTCAATTGAGGCGGAAAATTTATTATAAGTTGAGATACTTTCATATTTTAAGTAGTAAAATAAATAAAAAAATAAGATATTTAATCTTAATTTCTAGGCCCGCCTAGGCGGGCACTGGTCGGCCGCCTAGCGACTTCTAGAACACTGGTCATAAGTTGACCGTGGAGATTAGTTTTTTTTTTCAATTTTTTTTTCGTGTGGAGATTAGTTTTTTTTTTTCCTCAAAACGATAGACTTTATAACAAATAAACACAAAATTATAACTAGATAATAGCCCAACAGCTGAATCAACTAACTAAAAGAATCGAGTGGGAGGACAAACCATAAGGTCGCCTATAACCCACGCCAAGCAGAACACAAGACGCTCTCTCACGGGAGAATATACCACCTCTCCAACGAAAGAATACCCAACTCCCAAGGTCATAATTTAATTTTTCTTGGTTTATCTTTAAGATAATATAAAGACTTTTCGTTAGATGGTAAACCAAGCCGGCTAAGTGGCAACACTTTTTCTATTTTTCATAATCCCTCTAAATCCCAAAACAGTTGGAAGTAGTCTTAAATTCAGGCCCAGCCCTAAGATCATTAGGCGGAGAATTTCAATTGAGGCCCAGCCCAAATTGACCAATCACGTCCGAGGTAACCAATCCAACAAAACCCAGCTCGAATAATATATAATATCTATTGGTAAGAGTTATCTGTATTCTGTATCGAGGAAAAAATTGCGCAGGAGAACCTTCTCGAGCAGAATTAGGTGAGAATATATCTCTACAATTGACAATGGCCATCTTCCTGTTATTTTTACTATTTCAATTTGCTGATTTCTTCTGCTTTTGTTCTTCTGACTTGGATCCATTGAAAGCGAGAATCATGATACATCAACCACTGGTACCCGCCGTTGTGACAACCCCCGTTGTTGACTGCGGAGCTCCAGCTTCGTGGACCACCGATGATGACCACCTATCCCTGCCAGATGCTGAAGATTTGCGTGACGCGAAGAAGGTATTTCTCTGCTCGCTTTCTGTGTTTCTGCGAAATTTATCGCCTACAATTAATTAGGGCAAAAGAACCCTATTTTGCTGATCAAATTTGTTTTGTTTGACTTGAATGGAATGAAGCCGAGACTCGTACCTCATCTGGTTAGTTTATTCTTTTTTTTTTTTTTTGAAAATGCTTTAACTGTTTTTGTAACACCCCGCTTATCAGAGTAAATTTTTCGCAACTTTTACTTCGAAAATACTCATATCTCTTTCGAAATCTTTTGCGACTAGTTCGGGATGCTACTCAACCTTCCATCTTGAAAATCCATTTATATCTAACTTTTGTCTAATAACTCTTTTAGACATAATTAAATAGATTTCCTTTAAACTTGCATTTAACCATATTCATCCTTCTCAATTAATAAAAACTTCAAATCATAAATTCATTTAAGAAAATGCAAGTTCAATAGTCAATATGCGTAGCGGAATAATCGAAAGCGTGATTTATTATACAAACTTTATTAAATGCTTCATAAAAATCCTTGGAAATGCACAACCATCACCACCACGTCTCGAGCTCACACCTTCGGCCCGACCCTGTTTCCTGAAAAACACAATGGGGGTGAGTACGATCCTCTTGTACCCCGAAAACACCCATACTAAAGTAAACAGCAATAATAATACAATATCATGATCTCCGGTATATAACTGGACTTAAACTCCTCCAGTATCTCAACTTCATCTCACTGATATCTCATCGGATACTTGTGCACAATCTAATGGATATTTCTCAGGCAACTCAACGGCCTCCATTAGAACTTAGGAAATATTCGTAAGGCAACTCATCAGCCTTCTTCCCAAGCGTATAAACTTAAACTTTTACATACCTCGGACATGATATCAATATTATACTCAATGTAATACCCAGTCTGGGTCCCCACCTTTGGTCGTTTGTAAATTCGTAAGTGTTGTTCTCGTATAGCAACCTCCTCAAGCTACATAAAAATATATAAACAAATATACTAAGTACTTATGCTCATTTACTCAATAAGATGCTCGGTTTTCTCAATTCATTCAGATAACTCATTCAAATCTTATAGAAATTTCAATCATCATATTATGTCTCAAATTAATTTTTCTCAATCTTTTACTCAATCAATCTCATCATATATCACATTCTCCAATCATTCATATTTACTCCTACTCATTTTTCACTTTTTACATCTTGAAAGTGAAATTAAACTCAATCATATTCATCTTTTAAACATCACATCCAATCATGATATTAATATGCCATACTTAATACAATTTTTATAAAATTGTATACTCAACATATTAAATCAAACTTCATCAAATTGTTCATCACTCATATGAGAATAGATCATAAAAATCTCATTTTAACATCTTGAACATCTCATGAATATTCTTGCATATATATACTCATCTTCACATATATGCCATCTCATATTCATATCTCATTCATTTCTCATCTTTAAATTATGAAATTTAACAGTCATAATCTCAACTTCTAATTAGACATGTCCTCAAAATTTCATAATTTTATCATGCATATTCATCAAGTTATGAGAATTTAACTTTAATAGTGAACATAAACTTCATATTGCATGTTCATCTTCAAAAATTCATAACTTAAGTTATACTTTGCCAAATCACTTAATTCTTGATCTCATGTACTCCTCTTTTACACAAGAATTACTCATCTAAATTATACTTTTCCAGCATATTCATATCTTCATGAAAATCTCATGCAAATCAACATCTTATTACATTAAGTACATATATCACATATTTGATCTTATCAATTATGAACTTCAACTTCTACATCATGATATACATACTCATAAACATGTAAACTTATCATAAAAGCATGAACTCAAATATAAAACATTAAGATAAGTAAATTACCTCCTTCTAGGTGAAGTTAAAAACTTGATTCTTCACTCTAATGTCCTTATTTCTCCAAAGTTACTCCTTCTCACTCTCTCTCTCAAACTCATATGACTTTAGTAATTATTTTAGTGTAAAAACTCTGAGATTTTAGCCTCTATTTATAGGCACAAATTGGAGAAACATCCAAATAGAGTGATTAAATGATCATAATATAAAATTTAACTTATAAACTTAAATAATCTTTAAAATATCTTATGATTTACTTATTCATCCATCCAAAGCATATTTAAACATCAAAAATGGCCTTTGGTTAAAGTCACAATCGAATTCTCAATAATCCAATTGGACTGTCGGCAACACGACTCGTGTGGGAGAGTCACACGACTCGTGTGACCTCACACGACTCGTGTGCCATATCACACGACTCGTGTGGCTTGCCGACACTTTTACTCTTTAATCATTCATCATCTCCCAGACTCACACGACTCGTGTGCCATATCACACGACTCGTGTCAAAATCCCGAGACTAACTTTCATCACATCTCCCTCCCACACGACTCGTGTGCCTCTCCACACGACTCGTGTGGCTTCACACGACTCGTGTGTCTCTTCACACGACTCGTGTGGCTTGTTCCTTGAAAATTCTTAAATTTCGGTCCGATAACTCACTATCTTGGACTCAAAATCACTTATTTCTTGGAACAATAACTCATAATAACTGAAATAACTGAAAGGGATATTACAGTTTTCCCTCCTCGTTTGGCTTGATTTGTTCATTTTTATTCGTGGTATTTTTAGCCTGAGGAAGATGAAGAACCTCGCTACCCAAAAAGAGACAAGGGAACCACAACACTTGGTATTATTTACAAGGAAGGTGTTATGGTTGGATCTGATCATTCAAATGCGAGCAACGATGGTGAGTTATTTTACTTTTGATATATCATATGTTAGTTATATGAGCAAAGAAAGTTACTTACACTCTGCTTTTGAAATTAGGTTCTGAATTTGTGGACAATGTGATTGATCTTGATTCTCATATGCTTGTCTCTGTGTCTGGTGTTGGTGAGCCTAAATCGTTTCTCAGAAATATGAAAGAGCAGGTATGTCTTTTTTTTTTTCTCTATCCTTTTAGATACTAATATGAATGGAGGAGTTATTACCACGTCCTAGATTTGTGTGTACTTTTGAATTGAGAGAAACTTGGAAGATCAATTGTATAGGTGACAAGTTTTTTATTTAAAATTCATAGAAGAGGCCACGTTATTTTTTGTGTTCTTATATGCTTATGTGGTTGCTGTTGGGAAGACTGATGTGTAGTTTGATTGAATTAAACCAGTTCCAAGCTCTGAAGGGGAGAAAATCTATTTCAGAAGTATCAGAGTGGGTGGCCAACCATCTGTCTTCACATTGTGATAAAGATCCGTCGGCTAAAATGCTAATTGCAGCGTGGGACAACGAAATCAAGGTTAGTTAGTTGCTGCCTGCTCTCTTCTAGGTTTATTAGGTTTATTTCAGTTCCTGTATGAACACGTTAGTTTTTGTTTTTGTGCAGCGTCCTGCCTTGGTTGCTGTGAATTTTGAGGGTGAGAGATTTAGAAAGCGACTGCTGGCTGGCACTGGAGCTGGTTCAAATTTTGTTCGTGGACTCTATGAACGCCGGTAAGCTCCTTTTCCTCTCAATTGCTAGTGGTTGTTGTCATTCTTATTAGTCATATTCTGATTTGGTGGTCTTTCTACATTTTAGTTTCCAGGAGATGGGCTGTGCTGAAGCTTCGGAGAATGCAGAAGAGTTGATTCGCTTTACTGTGTCTTCACTTGCCCGTTCCGCGCTTATTGGTGACGATAACGCCGAATATGGTGGTTACGTAACTGGTATGTTTGTTACTTTGCCGCCACCCCCACTCCCCCCATTAATTTACTTTCTAATGAGTGCTTGCTTGCCCCTCTTGTTTTTAAAGGGTATTACGTTGGAGCTGAAGGGGTAAAAAGGACCTTTCGTGATGTGCCTGTTGGGGTGCAGTATTTCTTCGAAGCCATAGGGGCAAAGTTCTATATATGGTGAGGACTAGGAGGACCTTCCATGATGTACCTACCTCTTGAAACGTATTTATGTGTTTTATGTTGCTTTTTGTGAATGTTGGCTTTATTGAGAAGTGAAGCATGGATTATGTTTTAGTCAAATTTTGAGTCTTCTCACTCTTTTATTCACGTATATACATTTCCCTTAAGATGGTCTTGAAACGTTTTTATGTATTTGATGTTGCTGTTTGTGAGAGTTAGCTTTTATTAACCAATGAACCTTGTGCTATTATGTTTTGGTGTTTGTGAGTCTTAAATTCATTCTTTGAGAAAATTGACCAAAATTACCACTTCAATGCCTTGCGCAATCTTGCAAACGTCCGTCCATCTGACTGCCGCTTTCAAGGAGGCGGCGTCTGTTATGAAGCTTACGCCGGTGTTGCCTTTCAGTTTGTGTTATGCAGTGGATGAAATACCTAGTACTCGCGTAGGTTCGACCAGTTTGTGTTAGTACAAACAAGAATAAACAAAGCTTTGCAGTTTGCTCTGCCTTTAATTAACTTACTCTGTTTCAGTTGAAATTTCCTTGTCAGCTTAGCTTTAATACTAAATTAACTTGACACAAAGTTATGAAAATTTGTGTCTTTATTACTAATACTCTGTTTTAGTAATTAAGGTAATTACTAAGTTAATAAAGTTGAATTTTAAAATAAGATTTTAAATTTCAAAATCCAAAATAAATGATAATATGATTATTATAATATGGATGAAAATTGGGAAATGAATATAATAATAAAGTCTTGGAATAGATTCTCAAGATTTATTATTCAATTATTATTTCTATCTTTAAATATGATTTAAGGATTAAAATAATAAATATGATTATAATAAAATGGTGGTTAATGGTTGTTTGAACCACTTAACATATCTTATTATTTTCAAAGTCAATAGTTAGTAAATACTATTTAAATAAAATCTGATTTTATTTAAATATTACTAAATATTGATTATTTTATGCTAAAATGTTTAGTATAAATAGATGTAAATGGTTTACATAAATGGCTAAGTCTTGAAAATTGATTTTGGCTAAGTTTCTAAAGTGTTAGAAAGAGAAGAAAAGTTCTTCACAAAATCAAGAAAGAGTTCTTGAAAATTTCCAAATAAAATTCATACATATTCCTATACGAGAAAACCGAGTCATTCCTACTAGCGAAGGAAGGTCGTCGGAACCGGGCTTCATAGGGTGGATACGTTTAGAGGGAAGACACTTGGATTCCTAAAGTGAGTAACCTCAATCCGTTGAAGTTATCAAACCGGGAATCGATTCCCACAATCCACATCGTCGTTGAAGGAGTTCAAGACATTCGGTAAATACTTTGTATTAGTATTTACTTTATTGTAACAAATCAAAATTTGTATATGATGCATGTTTTTAAAGATGACGATCGATAATTCGCAAATAGTATGTACGGGTGTATTTATTCGATAAATACTTACTTTGAAAGATTTTAAATTCCGCTGCTTAAAGCCCGTACGGTACTAGCGAACCCAACAGTGGTATCAGAGCCACGGTTATCGTCTTTAAAACAGATTTAGATTTGTTAAGGCTTATTAGATAAGCAAGATAATTAATTGTTTATGAGATAAACATATTAATTATAAAATTAAAAATCGTTTTTAGTACCACACGAGTCGTGTGACATAGTCACACGAGTCGTGTGGCCCTGTAGCATGAAGAAAAATTCTGATTTTAGCTTCGTGATTTTCACACGAGTCGTTTGACCTTGTCACACGAGTCGTGTGAGTCTGGGAAGAATTTTGATTTTCCATTCGTATTTTTCACACGAGTCGTGTGAAGAGATCACACGGGTCGTGTGACCCCACACGAGTCGTGTGACTTGCTCACACGAGTCGTGTGACTCATAAAATTGATATTTTATGTTCATTTCATTAGATGAATGTTTTAGGGATGATCATGAGCCTCATATTCATTATGTTTGAATGGATGTTTTCATTTTCAATATGATTGAATGAATGAATGGATGTTTAATTATGTTTTCAATATGATTGAAGAAATGTAATTTATCGAGACCTGCGAGTCTCTTGAGATGAAATTTGTAAAATTTTAAATTTTGTATCGTTAGAGATTAGATCAAGGTGGAGACCGTTCGATGACAAAGGCCCACGCATGTGTGGGTAATTTTACAAGTTGTAATCTCGAAGGCCTGTGCTTGTACGGGTAGATAGAATAAATGTAATAGAAGTAGTTCTACTATTTGTTTTATCACGTACATATGCATAGATCCATTTTGGCTCGAATGGATCGAATAGGAAAGGACATGATCATCCCACCATGCATTAGATGTATGTTAGGTTTATTTACGCTTTCGTTTCATTAGATGACTGAAACTGGTAAATAAACGTAAAGATGGTAATCGATGAGATCAAGGAACCCAAACGGATTAATTTGATTAATTCCATATCAAATCAATAATGGATAAAAATAAGTTGGAACTTATTAATCCAGGCCTTCCATCAAAAGTAGATGACATGAGATGCTACGATGTTTTATCATTGGCCACGAGTCGTGGGATGATTCTATGTCGAAAGCTGTGAACTCTATTAAATATATTGATATTCGTGAGACGGATTCCTCTTTGTGTTGGCCATGAGTCGTGGGACACTCTGGTGGGCCGTTATCATGAAAGTTTTGATGGGTTTGATTTGACACCGAGTAATATATATGGAGTCATAAAATTGAGGTATATAAGGAAAGGTGAGGCAAAACATCTTGAAGGTTGTATAGAGATACAATTGTCAAAAAGTTGACTACCGATAAAATTGTTTCATGGTGGCATCATAAAATTGGGACATGAAATATTTTTATTGGACTTCAAGCCCACTATGAAAATAATGATTTTCATAATTATAATGAGGTTCTAATTAAATTAGTGGGAGACATTTAATGTTAAAGACCTAATATTAAATGAATATAAATTCCATAGTCTAATTATTTTCTGCTTCGTTTGTTATTTTTGTAGATCAAACTACTAAAATGGCTAAGAATCCAATCGCGAGTATCCTTGATCATAATAAATTAACTGGTCCCAACTTCAATGATTGGTTGAGGAACCTAAAGATTGTTCTTCAGTCTGAGAAGCGAGAGTATGTTTTGGAAACAGCTCCTCCTCCTCCACCGGAGGATCAGACTGCTGAAGAGTATGGAGCCTACTTGCGTCATGTTGATGACAATCTCCAAGCTCGGTGCTACATGCTAGCATCAATGTCTAATGAGCTACAGAGACAGAACGAATTACTGAATAATGCTTCTGAAATCCTAACTCACCTGCAAGAGTTGTATGGTGATCGGACGCGACAAATTAGATATCAGATATCTAAAGAGCTTTTCAGGTGTCGTATGACCGAGGGCTCTTCAGTTCATGATCATGGACTGAAGATGATAGCTCTTGTGGAAAGACTCGAATCACTTGGAGTCATTATGGATAATGAACTCTATGTGGATTTATTGTTGCAATCTCTGCCAGCGTCATTCGATAACTTTGTCGTTAACTACAACATGCATAATATGGAAACTGATCTTCCAGGATTATTAAACATGTTGAAGACGGCTGAGTCCACCATTAAAAAGGACAAGCCGGTACTTCTTGTTGGATCCACTTCCGGATCAAAGGCTACTAAGTCTAAGAAAAGGAAGAGGAAGGGAAAGGTTCCCAATAAGCCCAACAAGAAGGCATATAATGATAAAGGGAAGAACAAACAGAAGGTTAATTCTCAGGCCGATCATGAATGTTTTCATTGTGGCAAAACTGGGCACTGGAAGAGGAACTGCAAGGAGTATCTTGCTAGTCTGAAAAGTTCAGGTATTTATTTTGTTGAAGTTAACTTGTCTGTTAACGATTCTTCTTGGGTATTGGATACCGGCTGTGGCTCACATATTTGCAATGATTTGCAGATGATGGCAAGAAGTAATATGCTAGATGGTGAAGAAACAATCCTAAGGATGGGCAATGGGGCAAGAGTTGCTGCTAAAGCTATTGGGACTGTTTATCTAGCATTGAATAATGATGTAAAGATTTGTCTATCAAACTGTTTGTATGTTCCGGATTTAATAAAAAACATTATTTCTATTCCAATATTGGATAAGGAAGGTTTTAAGTTTGTCATTGAAAATGGAAAATGTTCTATTTTCAAAGACACAACTTTTATTTATTCTGGAAATTTGACAAATGGGTTGTATACCATTACACCACAAAGTCCCATCCTAACCATTCAACAAAATAAAAGGAAATTAGATAATCATAGTTCATTCACAATTTGGCATGCTAGATTAGGTCATATATCCGAAAAACGGATTCACAAATTGGGACCTAAACTCGACCTTAGGGGAGAGGATAGGTTGCCTACATGTGAGTCATGTCTTAAAGGTAAAATGACTAAATCACCATTTGTTGGACAAGTGGAGCGAGCTAAAGGTTTGTTGGATTTGATCCATACAGATGTTTGTGGACCACTAAACGTTAGTGCAATGGGGAACTATCACTATTTCATAACCTTCACTGATGATTATTCACGGTATGGTTATGTTTACCTATTGAGGTACAAATCTGAAGTATTTGAAAAGTTCAAAGAATTCAGAAATGAAGTGGAGAAACAAATTGGTAGAAATATTAAAGTTCTTCGATCAGATCGAGGAGGTGAATATTTGACTAATGAGTTTCTTGATTATTTAAAAGATAATGGGATTGTCTCACAGTGGACGCCTCCTGGAACTCCACAACTCAATGGGGTTTCAGAAAGGAGGAATCGAACATTGTTGGACATGGTTCGATCGATGATGAGTACCACTGATCTACCTCTTTCATTCTGGGGCTATGCCTTAGAAACAGCAGCATATATTTTGAATAGAGTGCCAAGTAAAGCTGTACCCAGCACACCTTATGAGATATGGTGTGGTAAATCACCCTCATACAAATATTTACGAGTATGGGGTTGTACTGCTTATGTAAAGCAGTTAGTGGGAGGTAAGTTGGATATGAGATCCATCTTATGTAAATTTGTGGGGTATCCTAGAGAGTCTATTGGATACTATTTCTATGATCCCTCTGAACAAAAGGTGTTTGTTTCGAGGAATGCTGTATTCTTAGAGAAAGATTTTATCTCAAAGAATAGCGGAGTCATAGAACTTAATGAAGAACAACCACAAATTCCACTAAGTACCACGGAAAACATACCAGTAGAGACTGGACCATCTAAAACACAACCTCTTCGGAGATCCGAAAGGGTTTCTAGGGCGCCTGAAAGGCTATACCTATTGTCAAAAGACAATGAAGAGGGATTCCTTTTGGATAATGATCCAATAAGCTATGATGAGGCAATGTTGGACATTGACTCAGATAAATGGCAAGAAGCTATGCAATCCGAAATAGATTCCATGTATTCAAACAAAGTATGGACTTTGGTTGATCCACCACAGGGTATTGTACCCATAGGTTGTAAATGGGTTTACAAGCGAAAACGTGGTGTAGATGG